ATTCATTTGAATCTGTCGGTTTCGTCTTATAAACAACATAACCTAATTCAGATTTTTATTAGTTGCACTCTATCGGGCGTCCGTAGACTTCCACATCCTTGAAGATAGAAAACTGAAATTTCATATATGTATACATTTTTACTAGAAACTAACCACTCTAAAAGCTATAGTCTCCCAAAACCCTAAAAATGGCATTTTCTAACTAATTATTATAGCAAAACAATAGCCATTTTTCAAATTTCTACAAACGCACAAAAGTAGTGAACTTAAAAAAAACAAAGTAGCCGTTAAATTTTTACTATTATCTTAAACCTCTGCTTTCCTAATTTTTATAATGTTCAGGTTAGGAACCTGAAATTTTGCAGCTTTAAGACATTAATAAATAATTCATTTCGTTAGAAAAAAAAATTTTTCCTCCCCTCACCCAAAAATTCAAAATTTGAGTTTTTGACACGTTATATTTCCAGAATTGCAAGCAGTTCCAAATTTCTATAAATACAGAAGGCTAACAGTAAATGCCATGTCATTAAAAAATATAATTATTTTTCTTAACTCACGCAGTTAATCCTTAAATTTGAGCATTATATTAACGCTTCTTTAATTTTTTTTTGTTCTATTTTAAAGATTGCGTACATTGTCCATCCTAAATAAATGCAGTTTTTGAAATATGAATGAAAGTATATAATTTTAATAATGTAAATATAGAATATACATATATGCATATTGTTTGCGAAAGCAGTAAATAACTTCAAGTATACAAGTGAAAATCACTTATTGAAGTGAAAAGTGCTACATTACAAACCATTGTTTTAATCCATTTGCAGTTTGAAGTTGAAAATAGTACGAATGTCAGTATTATGGCACTTTCGAATGTCATCCTACAGTGCGAAAATAGTTTTGGCATAGAAGATTTTTCCATCAATTTTTTAAATTTCAATTTTTTAATTAATAAAAAAAAATTTTAATTTTTTAAATTAAAATTTTTTTTTTAAAAATTGCTAGATGTCTTTGTAAAGCAATCTATAAACAAAGATTTTTAGATGGCTTTGCAATAATTTCTAGATATTTTTCTTTTAACTGTAAAGTATCTTAAGTCTTAAAGTTTTTTTTTCTTTAATGAGCGTTTTATATGAATTTCAGAAAGATGAATAACCAAAATTTTATACTAATTTAAACTAATGGGTCCTTTTACACCAACAACTTCTTACTTTTATTTTTCAACCTTTTAAAAAAGTAAAGTCTGTTTTTACGGCAACACGGACTATGTTAAAATGTTATGATACTGCTGACAACTATGACTAGTTTCCTATTTAGATGCGCATAAATCTAAAATTAGTTTTAAAACTATCTCATTTTAATGAAATTATTTTGTCTAATGTACATATCTTTAAATAACATTACAATACTATTTAACGATAGCTTTATAGTATAATTTAATTATTACAGTTATTATAGGAGAAAAATGTCTGCTGTATGTTTGGGTTTCTTCTTCGGAATCATTAAATAACAACAACACGAAAAATTTTTATTATTACAACCATAACGCAATAGATAATTACCGAAAGAACTAAGAAAAAATATTATAAATATAAAAAAATTCAAATAACTTGATAATAAATAGAAAATCGACTTTTAACTAAGATTTAAAAGAACTCTATTTGAAAACTTTTGTCTTGACATAAAATATTATTCTTATTATAAGATTGAAAGTAGAATTGGTCACAAAATTGAACAATATCTACTATAATAGAAGAAACTATAGGACACTATCGTTTTTATTTTTTAGTCTGATTTTTGTTTTCGAAGAGGGTATTCCTGAGTTCTAACCGACACAATTGCTTGTTAGGGACATGTGTTATAATTTAATAATTGGAAATAATTAATTTTAGTCTAACATTTTATATTTATACTGAAAATGTTTTTAACTGTTTAGTGAAATCATAAGCATTTTGGAAATTTTGCAAACGCAGAAAGGCAATGGCTTGCTTCCCCTAGCGTGGTATACTATAGTTAAACTATAGCAGCCTGAATTTTACGGGCTTTTAGCCACTAATAAATGTTGCATTTCGTTAGAAGAAAAATTTTTTCCATCTCCACCCCCTCTCAAGTTATCGCCTCTTGAAATTTGTAAAATTTGAATATTTGGCATATATATATCCATATATTATAATATTTGGCATTTATATTTCCGAAATCGCAAGTTTTTTCAAATTTCTATAATCGCAAAAAGCTAACGGTAAATTCCATGAAATTAAAAAAATATAATTATTTTCCTTAACTCACACAATTAACCCTTAAAATCGAGCATTATGTTAACCCTTCTTTATTTTAATTTTTGCTTTATTTCAAATACTGCATAAATCATTCATCCTAAATATATGCAATCCTAGAAATAGTTTCGTTTATGAATGAAAATAATTTAAATAGTGTGGTGGATATACATAGACTGCTTTTAAAAGCAGAGTGTTTACTTGCTGAAGGGAAAAGTGCTACAATACAAACCATTGGCTTGACCCAACTTTATTTATTTAATTGCACAATAGAATTTTAAATAACCCAATATTTATCTTTTACAATTATATCCTGCTCTATAAAGCTAAAATTTTTAACACTAGCTGCTTAAATTTTGGTCAATGAATCTTGAAATTTCGTTATAGCATTTTAACATATAAAAATAAAAAATTTGAAAACGAAAACCACATACCTACTAATTTCTTTTTGTTTCTCTTCTTTAACTTTCCCTTTCATTTCTTAAACATTTTTTTTCTGGAATTCTTTTCAGGCCTAAACTTAAATTTAAAACTGCTTCAAAGCAAAAAAATAAAAAATTGTTTAAATAAAATATTTAAATTTTACATGCTCATTGTCATTAACAAAGAAAAAACAATGTTGCGTAACACGAGAGGCACAAGATTTGCAAACAATAAAAAAATTTGCTAACATGTTTTTGGTTTAACATACCAAAGCTACCATACAACTAAATTTTTGATTTTTTGATTATGTAAAATTGTGTCAAATATTAACCATACGCATGGTGATTTATTTTATAAAAAAAAACTTTAGTTTTGTAAAAGTGGGGCATAAAACACTAAGATTAAAAATATAAAATAAACAGGAATTTAGAAAACTGCAAAACGTTTAGAAACTTATACGAGTATTGCTTACAAAAGGCTATGCAAATTAAAAAACCAAAGATCAAGTGTATTTTTTGGGCTCAATGGGTTAAATCTATCCATTACATTATGCATACATATTTACATATCTTTAGTGTGAAAGTTCGCAATTTATCCATATTAGATGAAATTTAAGAGAGATGAAATGGTAGTTGTTGTTGTAATAAATTTGTGATCGAGTTTACTTCATAAAAAATGTTGCACTGATGCTATAGAAATTTACATAATCCAATATTTTTTCTTGCATAATTTTATGATGAAACTTTCTCCATAAACAGTAAATTAAATTATTGTAGCACACAATAACAATAAGAGATTAATAACCCAAATTTATTTTACACTAGACTGTTAAGTTTGCTCCAACACCATTTGATGCTCTTCAAATCCGATCTATTACATAATATTACGTATAATTTTCATAAGTATATACATAAAATTATTGAATATGTACTACGTACCTATAAATAACTACCTACAAATAAATTTTTTAAGAAAACATTAGAATTTCACCTTGAAGTAAAGAAAATTTAAGTATAAGTACATTAGGGTAAAAAATTTGTTTTTGAACCTGCCTTGAAAACTAGAACAATAATATACCTGTCATGATTTTCTTTGGCTTACAGAACTCGATTATAAGCATACGCGTATATGTTTGTACATACATATGTATGTATATAATATAAGCACATGAATTCATAAAAATATTAAGATATTGAAGTCGCAAATAAAAAAATTATCGTCATTTTATGAAAAAACCAGAAAATTTTCGAGGTTGTGAAAATTTTTATGTCTACAGAATTTTTTGATTTAGACATTCCATATTATTTATACTGATATGTTCGCATTGAACTGTAACATTAAAGTCTATGAACTTTCTTAACATATAGGCATTAATTGCGTAAGTAAAAGGAAAATTGTTCTAATAATTGTCCAAATAAGAAGCTGTAAATATTGAAGCTGTATGGTGACTAACATAAAGACTCGGGAAATCTATACCATTTTAGACGAGAGTAATGGCCCTATTACTATATTTATTTGTGCAGGATTTTAGTGCTGTAGTGCCAACAGCCTCTGATATATGGTAGAATAAATTTTGAACTTTTGAATATTAAACAGGGTTCTGGCATTTACCATTGCAATCTATTTGTAGAAATTTTACGAATACAGTTAAATTATTTTTAGAATTATCACTTACAAGGAATTATCACAACTGGAAGTGTATACAATAATGGTACATAAATATGTGCATACAATATAATAATTACATCACAGTTAAATACGCATTACTCATTTACTTACATATGTAATACGAGGACAAATTCAGAATTATGAGCGACTCGTAAAATGTTTTTGGTAATTTTACTAAATTTAAACTTACTCTTACATTTTTTAATCTTAAAAAAAAAGTCTCATATTAATTTTTAAATTTTTTTTAATGGCTTTTGCGCGCAGATTTCGTTAGCTTTTAAATTAGTATTTTCGTTTCAAGCTTGGAAAAAAAAATTTTAAAATTAATATTTTTCCATTTCTTAATTTAACAAAAGAGGGACAATGAAAAAGAAATCGGATGCTCATCACAATTAAAATGTGCCTGAAATTTGCATTGAAGGAAACCAAATTCCATTGACGTTAAATGTGGTTTGCTTTTGAGGCGGAAACTTTCTCTTAACACTACTCTTATTTTTCCATTTTTTAATGTTGAAACTGTAAGTCGGCAAAATGATAGAAAATCTTTTTAGCTTAAATTTGACAGACTAGTCTTTATTACTACAAATTTACAGGTCAGAATTGCAAATAACAAATACCACAAATACGACAAAATTTACGATGAAAATTGAATCTCATGAAAGTTTGTTTAGTAACACTCTTTCAAAATATCGCACTTTAATTATGTAATTAAAAAAAATGTAATCTATTCTCATCAAAAAATCTCATTAATCACTAACATTTTATTCATTTTTTTCTTATTTTAGATAGAACTGTGCTAATTTGGTCAACCAACCAACTGGAAGATGCGAAAGATAGAAAATGGTTTCGATTAAATATTCAATATGATTACGGAATTAAATTAGCTTGGAGTCCAGATAGTAAAGCAATAGCTATTCTTAAAGCTGCAGAAAATTGTATTGAAGTATATAAATTGGACAGAAAGGATGGATGGTTTTCAAGTTATGAGCGTTGTTTAACTTTTCCAAAAGTAACTGATGATGAAATAGTGGGTTTCGGTATTTCTTGTACTGGTCGTTATATAATAACGTGTACCAATAACACAGATTTGTATATATGGAATTTAAAAGGCAGTATCCTGGAAAAAATTGATACATATCTAATGAACACTTACTCAGCTAAAATATCACCATGTGGCAGATTTGTTGCGGCTTGTGGTTTTGCTCCAGATTGTAAAATATGGGAAGTTAAATTCTCCAGAAATGGTGAATATCAAAAAACTGTAAGAGCATTTGATTTAACCGGTCATACATCAGGAATATATGATTGTGCATTTGATCAAGATTCTTCTCATATAGCTACTGTTTCAAAAGATAGTTCTTGGAAACTTTTTGACATTAAAAGTATAAATTTACACTTAATTTTTATAAATTATAACAGTATTAAGGTTTCACATATTTTCAGTTGAATTTGATAAGGGTCAATTACCACGTTGCTTAAAAACTGGCAAATACACAATCGGCAGCACAGACCCTATAAGTGCTTTATCATTAAATGCTGAAGTTTTAGCAATAGCTAGCGGTAATCAAATACAGTTATTTTCAATGTTTACTGGCGAATTAGATATGACAATAAAAAATGTTTATGAGGGACCAATAGCCGAAATAATGTTTGATCCATTAGGTAAATACTTACTAACGGCAGGTGATAGACATATTCGGGTTTATCATAATATCACCGGTATGAAAACTTCTAGCTTGATTGCTGAAGAAAAACTCAAAAGAGGAAGTGTTACTCGGGCAACGAAAGAACGCTTGGAACAGCAAATAAAAGACAATCAAAATTTCATTAAAAAATTTCAATAAATATTCGAATAAAAATTTGCCAATAGTTAAAATTTCGTTTTATTGCTATTACTGTTAATAATAACATATAAATATTTACCTTTGTTTTGGTTTTTGTTTTAAATTGCACATTTTTTATGTACAGAAGTACCTGAATAAATTTGAATTGGTAAATGCAAAAATTAAAATTGCTAAATGTTAACAGCAACCATTTCTAATGACGCAAAATGAAAAATTCTTCAATTTTCAACAAATTTCGAGTTTTTTAAAAAAATTAAAAAAAAAAAACTCTGATTTTAACGAGCATTATCTCGAAAAATACGGCTCAAATCAATTTGATTGTAAGACTGAATATAAAGCCGATACAGGGAATCAATTAACTGTTGGAAAAGCATCCGATGATTACTGTATATCGCATGGTTCAGAACTTATTCCGAACATCTGGTATATCTTTTTTTAAAAGCTGTATCTCAAAAACGAGTATAGTTACATCGCTCCCCCTCCAGCACTCCCATACAATTTTTTGCTGGAATTGATCAAAGAATCATCCCTAAAGTGATTTGCCACCTTATGCGAAATACCCTGAATATTCAACAAACAGCGCATAAATATGAGCTACGTTTGCAAAGAAAAATGACATTTCTATTCAAGGGCTAAAATATTTAAAAATTTACTACTTTTCTGTAAGTTTAATTTAAATCTCGACAAGAATTGATTTTACATTATGTATTTTAGTTCTTTGATTTAAAATTCAAATTTTGTTTTTTGTTTTAATGTCAGTTGTAAATGATTTTCTTTACTAAGCTACTCTCCAATAGGTGGCAATACACACAGGAAAATTATTTTTTTTTGGCGTTATAGGCATTAATTTTTTAAAGAAGGGTTGAATCGAATTTGTGACAATAATTGAGTACATATTATCCTCGACTCACCTGAACAAAAAATGCAAAAGTAGTCCGTTAAATTTGTGTTTATTTCTTAAATGAACTTTAAAGAACTCTTTGATTTTTAATTTAATAATAGAAAAAGTGAATTTTTTGTAAATTTAAAATTCTAAAAAATTCCAACCAAAATATGGTATTTTAAACTCTCTAAATTAGGGTACATAAGTTAATCAAATTGAGCCAAATAGGTTGCCAAGTATTCTTTAAATAGAAAAATCTATTTAAAAAACAAATTTGTTATTTTCTTATATGAAAACTAAGCTAAACTTCAATTCTGGTTTAATTCACTTTTACATTTCCAATCAACTTATATACTTAGCACTACGGTTGATAAAAATACATATTTTCAATTTAAACAAAGCTGACAGTGAATGAGTTGAGCTGCCATTTATAACCAATCAAAAGCTACACTTATCTTACATAAATGCAGTAGAAGTTTATGTCAATGTTTGCAGAAATCTGTCGACCATTTTTATTGACATTTTAATTGTCATTTTTTATCATAATATGTATATAAATTATGGGTAGTTAGTTTTATTTATACGTACCTCAGAGTTTTAAAAACAAAACACAAATTATAAATTGGAACAATAGGCCGCAATACTTATTTAAACATATATTTGATAGCGGAGTTGATAAAAATCTGGTTATAAAATTTCAATGGAATTATATTACTTTGTAATGTAGTAAATTTTCAATTGTAACATAAGTTTCAAAATGCTTGGAGCGGTAATCCGGTTCATACGTCGTCGGATTGTTCTTGGGATAATATTTTTTTTATCGTTAACCTACTTTCTAGTTAGTCTTTTTGGAAGGGTATAATAATGATGAAAATATTTTTTAGTTTTTTTTTTGTTTTAATTAAGTATTTTTCAGGGAAGTCAGTTACTAGATTCTGATGAATTCGAAATAAAAAGACAACATCCGTTGATTTGGAGAAGTTTGCAAGAGGATTCATCAAATCGAACTAATGATTTAAGTATATCGTGCAGGTATATTTAACATTGATTGCATATAAAATTTTTAAATGGCTAATATTAGTTGGCTAAAATCCAAAATCGTTTTTGATATACACATCCAATAATTAGGTATGGATCAACTAAATTTTAATATAATCAAGTACCTACATACATATAAAAAAATTACGTAAAAATTTTTTCAAAAAATTTCTCAATTAAACAAGAATTTTTTAAATTGAGGTAGCAAAAATAAGACCTTTTATATTTGCCTTTTCCATATTTATTTTGTGTGTTATAGTATTTCTTTTGCTTTTGAAGATTTCACTTTGTTAATATCTTTATTTTTACAATTTGCTTTCAGAAATTCTGTACAAGGCAAAGTTCTAATTGTAGATGATCGTGGATTTGTTTGCCAGCGCTCGGATTTATTATGGACTGGCTGTTGCAATATTGAAACACCAAACACCAAACAATATTTATGTGAAACATGTAATCCACAAACAAATTGCTGTGCAATATACGAATACTGTGTATCCTGTTGTTCAAATCCAAATAAAAGAGAACTTTTGGAAAGAGTAATTTCAAAATCTAAAGGTAGGCAATCTGCAGTGTTTGCTTCTGTCAGAGATCATTTTGAACTCTGTTTGGTTAAATGTAGAACCAATTCGCATTCAGTACAACATGAAAATAAATATCGCGATCCAAAAACAAAACATTGTTATGGTGAAACTGAAGCTCATGAGTCACAAAAAGAGGTTGCAGGTAATTCGGTGCTTTAATGCTTGATAGTTTGAAGCAAGTATTCTTATGTGATTTAAAACTTTATGATATTTAAGAATTTTATGGAAAACAAGAAAATATGTAGGGGAAATATTTTTCCTTGAAAACGTTGTTTCTTAAAAAAACAATAGACAGCATACAAAAATAATGAAATTAATATAACCCAATATTTATAGTACATATTTTTATTTAAGGTCGCACTTGTTTGTAGTGAAATTCCTCATTGTAATATTTTAGATTTAAGTAGAAAAGTTATAGTTTTAATAAAAATATTCTACACAATATTAAGTTTAAAAAATGTATTTTAATTTTATATTAAATCAACTTAGTTTATTAGATAACAACACTTCAACTTATTTTGCGATTTAAAATATTTTAATTAAAATTGTGTGTATGGAAACAAGTAAGAAGCATAATTTATTTCTTTGATTTGTAAAATTTAACTCACACCCTTGAAACATACAAATAGTTCAAAAGGTTATTACGAATGCACTTAAATTTTCGCAATTGCTTTATTTTTAGTAAGTATCGAATTTGTGAAAACAACTTTTAAAATATGCAAGAGCGAGAAGCTTCTATTACACATTTTAATGTTACCAAATAATTAAGCCGATTCAACATAACTGTCGCCTTTATTTATCCCAAAAAATAATTTATTGCTTTTGATATAAGCCCAAGCCATTCTTTTTGATGAAAAATGAATTCCAATATCCCCACTCTTACTAATCGTAATAGCACCTCCAGTCCCAACTAATCTTTTAGTCATTTCCTTAACTGTAAATTCCGTTGCTTCCTGGGCACTCACCTTTTCATAAAACATTTTTTGTAATATTCTTTGCGCCAAATTGAATCTCATTAATGTTTCTCCATGTCCAGTTGTTGAAACCCCACCTATGGTATTATCAGCATAAGTACCACTCCCTAAAATTGGTGTATCACCAATTCTACCTGGAATTTTTCCAGTTATACCGCCCGTACTAGTAGCAACTGCTATATTGCCATGAATATCAATAGCTACAGCTCCAACAGTTCCAGGCTCACCCGGTGCTTCTTTTTTATCTAATTCTGTCGGAGAAAATATTGTATCCAAGCCTTTACTTTGCCTATCTAAAAATTCAGCCAAAGCATCTTTAGCGTTTTGTGTTATTAATGACCCTTTTGGCAAAATCTCAAAATTTTGATTTACTGCAAATTGCATCGCTTGTTCACCACCTAGAAATGTGTGATTTGTTTTTTCCATAACTTTTCTTGCTACAGAAATTGGATGCATTATGTCGTGTAGCAAAGTAACACATCCACTTTTTAAATCACCGATCATAATACTTGCTTCAACTTCTACTTCTCCATTTGTATTAAGACAACTGCCGTATCCAGCATTAAAGTTTTCATCTAGCTCCATTGAACGAACTGCTTCTTCAACAGCATCTAAGGCACTTCCACCATTTTTCAAAACAGAAAATCCTCTTCGCACAGAAGTTTTTATACCATCCAATTTGCCTGAAACTCTCGCATTTGTAATATCACCTGCACCGCCATGTACCAAAAGAATGGGTTCCATCGTATGACTGAAAAAATGATTTATGAATGCGCGATTTTCAAATGAAATGATTATTTTGTCTTATGAAAAATACAAACTGAAAGTTTTAAAAAGCAGAAGTTTTATTAAGTATCTATGTACTAGCCGCCTAGATAAGTATAATCAAAAAATCACAATGTTTTATTGAAAAATAAAATATGCAGATAAGAAAAACCAAGATAAATAGAAAACTGTCAGAAAATCCCCTACATAACTGATGCTCTTCTGATAATAAATGATGACAATTTATTTTTTTTTGTTAGAAACCAGTCTCCTTCAATATTAAAATCACTTTTCATTTACTTTTTTCCAGACGAATTTATTCACATTGTTTGGGATTTGATGACTTATTTAAAATTTTTATATACTTTGAAAATCTAACTTTAATAGTTTTTCAATAATTTTATCTCTATTGTCATTTTTCATAATATACATATGTATGTGTTTACTTGGTGTTTACATGTTCAAATGTTCATTATATACATAATCTAAATAAATACCATAAACTCACTCAAATAATAGACTGGCAATTGGCAAATTAGCATTAACGCAATAATACTACAGAAAGGAGAAAAAGAACTTTGAAAATTAAAGCCAATTTTTCTCTAGTTGTCCCTTTTTTGAAATTTTTTCGAGCATTGTCAAACTCGTAACAGAGGCGTATTTAGTTTTTCTATAATTAAGTTAAAAATTTTTATATATAAAATTGAAAACAATATTTCAATTTTCTGTAAAAAAAAACAAATTTAAATAAAACTCATAGTTTCTTTACTCTCAGTTTCTTCACAAATTTATTTTATAAATCTTCATATTACAACTTTTCAGCCCTAGAATAAATTAATAAACATATCTTGTAAAAAAATTCCTTTATCGGTTTTATTTGACAGTTTTATGTTACGATTTATTGCAATATTATGATAATGTATGCATATGGTAGTTTGATTTATAAAGTAAAGTAAGATGGTTTAGTTTTCAGTACCGTGCCGAAATAGAAATATCAATATTTAACAAAATATTGGTAAAAAAAAATATTGTGGCTTTTAATCGAAATATTTATCATGTTAGCATTGCAAACTTTTGTAATTTTTTACACTGCAATTTCAAAATTTATATTGGATCAAATTTACATTTTTGGCAAAACGTGCTTTTGGTTTCACTCTGTCTATCCGTCCGGCTGTCCATGTGTCTGTTTACAAAACTTCTACGTCCTCGAAGATAGAAAGTTGAAATTTCGTATATAAATATGTATATCTTTACAACAAACTTATTTCCGTGGAAAAGAATTTTTACCTATCTCCCCTCACTACGAGTTATGGCCGCTTGAAAACTGAAAAATGTCAATTTTTCACTATTAATTTTAAAGAAGTCATAAGCATCTTTAAAATTAAAGTTCATCTTTCAAGTTTTGCAAACGCAAAAAAGTTGCAGCTGGCTTCTTCTAACGCCTCACAGAATGAATATTAAAAGAAAAAGAGCCTACTAAAATTTACATTCATCTTAAACCCTGTTTTTTCAAATTTTTAACAGTTTTCCTTCAATATAACAGGTTGAAGGAGTCGAAATTTTAGCAGCTTTTACATACTAATAAATAGCTTATTTCGTTAGAGGAAAATTTTTTCCACCTTCTCTCTAAAATTATTGTTTCTGGAAATTTTGTAAAATTTGAGTTTTGGTACCATTTACTTCCGAAACCGCAAGCTTTTTGAAATTCATGAGATGAAATTTATATAAATGTAGAAACGTAACGGTAAATGCGGTGCCTTTAAAAAATACAATTACTTTTCTTACTCAACAAAATAACCCCTGAGTTTGATCATTATGTTAACGCCACTTTCAATTTTATTTTGTGTCTTCCTAAATGTATGCAATCCTTTGAAATATTTTTGTATATGAATGAAAGTAATTTAAATAATGTAGTAGATTTTTTTTAAAAGTACAACTTGTTTGACTTCTTCGATGGTAAAGTTTGTTTATAACTTTGTTTATAGCTCACTCAAAATAAAATTAAATTTAAATTTTAACATAAATTTAATGTTATAATAATAATTAGATGCTACTATCTCTGAAAAATTCTTTATTGAAGAATTACTAGTTTCCGAAAAAGAGATATTTGAATAAATCATTTATTATACTTTGAAACATTTACGACTGGGATAGTGACAGATAGTTTAAAATTTCATTCTCCAGGGGATATATGTACATATATATGAAAGTGTATATATGTATATGGAAATAGTATAGTTTTTGCAAATAAATAGTTTTGTACAGTTATCAATCACAAGCTGACCTGTTGATTGAACATTTTCTTTCCTCTAAGGAAAGAAAACATAATAATATGTGAAACATACCTCATTTTATTAATTTATTCATTATTTAAAATTAAAACGGAAAGAATAAAAATAAAAGTAAATTTTTGGCTATTAGAAACAATGTTAAAAATTAAATTTTTAATAAAATTCATTGTTAAATAAAATAAACAAAGCATTCGGTTCTTTACAACTAATAGCAAAATTTTGTTTTGCTTTGCAATACAGACTAGATAAATAATAAATTTTAATAGATTTATAACTTGTAGATTAAATTAATTCTATTAAATTGTTATTCCACTACAATACATTGGCATAAGAAATTAGAATAAAATGTTATAGGTCTCTAACTTTTTTCAGTATAACCTCGTAAAACTAACAAAAGAACCAAAACAGCTTTTTGGACAAAACTATATTTTGTTTGTTTTTAATAATACATATACATTCATATAATTAAAACATACATAAAAACTAAATTGTCTTTGTAGTTGTTATAGGTACTTAAAATAAATAAATAAATTTATTCCTAAACTAAATCTATTCTGAAGACTTATTTATTTCCATTACTTCAAAGCTACCCTTTCTTCTTCTATCGTAAACAGCGCTCATTTCGTTATGTAAGTTACCAATAGCAGTAACAGCAGCGAAACCAATATTTTCCGGTACTATTTCTACTGCATGATTAATAGTTTTATTCAAAAAGTTGAAAATTTCCTGTAGAAAAATGATAGTTACACACATAATTAAATTTAAAAAAATGTTTAATATTACTTTATCGAAATTGGTCTCAAACTGTATTAAATTTGGAGCCAATTGATGATGGAGCCTGTCTCCTTGGATAGAATCATTAAGGTTTTGGTTCAACATAAAATATCTAATTATACTCTAAAATCGAATTACAACAGTTAAAACTCAGTTTAATTAAATAATATTTAAAATATTTTTACCAAGGCTACGGCTGTTGTAATCTTAGATCCACCAGCGGCCCCTATTAAAAGACGTACATCACCTCTTTCATCAAGAATAATAGATGGACACATTGAAGACATTGGAATTTTACCTTTTTCGATAAAATTAGCCGGTGAAGGTGGAATTCCGAAACCATTAACTCTTCCTGGGACCGAAAAATCATCCATTTCATCATTTAAAATAATACCTGTTCTCGAACGAAATTTTGCACCGAATCTAAAAAAACAACAGGTTAACTTTGCAAATACAAAAAGCTTTTTAAGCTAACTTACATAGTATTAACGGTGCTAGTTACGACTACTGCATCACCATTTGGAGCTAAAACCGCCAAATTTGCTGTACCGTGATCCTCGACATTTGAGAAATTAGCACCATAGTATCTGTAATCTGTGAAAGTTTTGTTGTCAAATATTTTTTTACGAATTTCTTTGACAAATTCTGGGTCTTCCAAGTTTTTAATTATTTCCAACGCTTCTGGTGAATATTTAGGGTCACCTAACTTTGTTCTTTGCCCATAACCATGTTTAAACGCCTCAACTATTCTTTGATGAAATACATTACGATCATCTGTTCTCATACTTTGTATTAAATTTAAAATGAAAGTAAGAATTATTCCGCTACCCGGTACTGATACAGTATATAAAGTGTGCTGTTCATCAATAGCTACTTTTACAGGTTTTTCCCAACGAACACTGGAAAATTATATTTTAAAACAAGAATTATCTCAGATTATTTAAAATATCGAACATGGTTATTTACTTACCTGTAGTCTAATAAATCTTTTTCTTGTATAATTCCACCTCTACTTTCGATATCTTCAACCAACATTTTACCAATTTCGCCACCATATATCGCACCTTCTCCCTTTTCAGCTATTTCTTCCAAAGTATCAGCTAACCGCAGTCTTTTCATAATGTCACCCTCTTTCCAAACATCACCTGTTGCCTCATTAATAAATATTTCTCGAAAATTATTTCGATCATCCATAATTATACTTTTGTATTTTTCTAATGATTTAGCTAAATATGCTGATACACGGACTCCAGTTCGTGCTAAATTAATTGTAGGTTTTATTAAGTCGGCCCATGGTAATTTTCCGTGTGCCTTATGAAGAGCCCAATAACCTCGTAATTCGCCTGGTACCGCAACTGATATGCCACCTAAAATTAGAGACAAAATAAATATTATGTAATTAACATGTGTAAAAAAGTATTAAGCGCTTTTAGTTTACCAAACGTACGTATGCATTCTGAAATAAAAAAATATGGATTTGCATGCAGATTTCAATTTGACTTAAGGAAAAAACTTTTGCCATATTTTATAGTAATATATACATACACGCCAGTGGAATGGTTAAAATTAATTGTAGGTGTATTCTTATGGCATGGGAAACTTTGTAGAAAGCAGATGATTTAAGTTTTACTTTTCAAAAATAGGTTAGTTCAATAAAAATATTAATAACTTGATAGAAAATCTTTATATTTTTTCTCGTATTTTATGAATTGTAAGATTTTGAAACATGTCTTTGTCTCAAAATTTTTGCAATTAGTTTTATTATAATGTTAATTATAATGATAATTATAATACTAAGACTTAGATCAACTTCTGTTCGGCAGCACGGTTATAAACGCCAAAGTCGGAGACATTTGCTTGGTCATACTTGGTCAACATTAAGTTAGAGATCATTATACATAACGAAAAATTCTTATACTGTAAATAATATTCTGATTTTTGGATAATAGCTACGAATAAGCTAATTAGCTTATAATATACGAACATAAATGAAAGCACAAAGAATTTATTAAAAAAATATTATCAAAAATAATAAAAATAATCAATTAACTAAGATTGAAATGGTAAAATTTATACCTGTAATTTCAGTTGTATTTTCAAACATATCCTTGTGAGATCGTAAAGGTGCTGCTTCTCTTGCTATTAAAGATTCTACTTCATATTCTGATTTAGTGTAAATAGTTGCAACAAATCCTCCACCTAAGCCCATGCTTTGTGGTAAAACAACTCCTTCACAAAACAATGTCGCTATGGCAGCATCAGCAGCTGATCCTCCTTTTGATAAAATTGAACTAAAATATTTAAAAATATAAAATTAAAATAAAATCAAATAACATTACAGATTTATAAAATTTAATTACATTCCAATTTTAGAGCATTCATATCCATTTGACACAACAGCACCACGTTCTGTAATTGAATCTGTCTTATAAGCAAAAACTAGAGCGACAACAATTGCTACTATAACAACTATCCCAATAGCAGTAAATATTACTCCTTTTTTACTTATTTTGCCAAATCTGTTAATAAAAATATAAAAAACTATTAGAAGACGTGACATAATTTTATTTTATTTTTCTAAATTGACATTGTAACTGAGATTTCTAACGAACTACAGTGAAATAATAAATTTAGACTTTATACAAATTTTGGATTTAATCAGTTTAAGTATAATTTTATTAGAACTCAATAGTAGACTAGTGGCTGTACAAAACTCGGATAAAAAAATAAATATTCAATATTTGCTTAATAAAAGTGCAATTTTTTTATAACAGCTGTATTTTTTAAAGCATAGAAACACAAATTTTTCAATTTTTTTATTGTATAAAAAAGATTATACTTCCTTCAATTTACGATTTTTGAAAGAATTAATTTTTTAAATAGTACATTTTTCTTGAACAAGTGGAAACACATTCAAAAACGATCTTTGAATTAAATAAAATGATTCTCGATGATAATAAAATATTTCATAATAATTGCATACGTTTAGGATAATAATCAAAACTAAAGCATCTGACGCAATTAAGTGTGATACAAAAATATCTAATTTTACTTTTTGATGACATTAAATTTACTGCTACTTTTTCTGTTTTTATGCAAGTTTCAATAATTTTGGGTGGTCAGAATTTTTAAAGAGGTGAACGTAGGCGAAAATTTTCAATAAACGAAATGAATTATTTATTAATATCTAGCAACTACATGGAAAGTATGAAGAAAACGGTTGATTTAGAGCCTTACCGTGTGTCTCGCCATTTTATTTCACTTTTTGTTCACTTTCAAATCAGAATTTTCCATTTTTCTAATGGATATTTGCTTTACAATAATTACTCATTTTTGCAACTCAATTTTTGCATTTTTTCTTATTAAATTGTCGAAAACGCCTCGTCTTAATGTGAGAACGTCTCAAACAATGTGAATAAATTTTGTATATATTTTAAAAAGAATGAGATATGCAATGGGGAATACGAGTACAAATATTACATTACATTATACAAATATATGATTTTTACTCACTTTCTTATCACTTAGCAAGTAAAATAGCTTTATAAACGATTCTAAAGGTTCTTAAATGGTAATTTTGTCATTATAACCTTAAGAGGTACCTACAAGTAGATAAAACATTTCTTCTAGAGAAGATATATGCACCATAGGTAGCACCCTTTTTCATTTTTACCGACCGTATTGTGTTAACAATAGGTAGGTTATGTGATGGCAACAAATTTTGCATATCGAGTTTTCGGTGGGAACGTACTTCTCCATAGTAGGGAAGTGTAAATAAACTATTTTTAGCAACCTGTCGGTCTGTCGGTCTGTCGGTCTGTGTGTGCACGCGTGTATCTCAAGTTCGGCTGAACCGATTTTGATGAAATTTTATATGTAAGTTTGTTTCCACCATGGCACGGATCGATCAACTTTTGGTATATATCAGGCCTCGGGAACTGCACTTTTTAGCGGGCCTGTTTTACATTTTTGAACATTTTGAAGAAACTATTCAACCGATTTACTTGAAATTTTATATATAAGCTCAGCTCGCCCGTCCGCAAAAATTCGTATGTTTTGGAAGAAATCAGGCATCGGCAACTAGACGTTTACTACGGGCCAAATATACATTTTTGTGTATATAAAGAGAAATAATCAACCGATTTCATTGAAATTTAATATATGAATTCCTCATATTAAAGCAATGAACATATAACTTTTTTGGAAAGATCAGGGCTCGAGAACTGATTTGCGGGCCGATTTTACATTTTTCACCATATCCACAGAACAAATTGATGGAATTTCTTGAAATTTGATATTTGAGTTCTGGTTGTTATCGAAACTAACTGGCGAGCATTTCAGGGAATTCGGGTAATACAAAGCGAAACTCTACTAAGAGCCAAATTTTCATTTTTCTAAGTATGTTAACTATAAGCTTACTAATGTCCTAAAAATTGGAAAGAAGTATTTAACAGATGTTTTTATAATATTCTGTAACACTTTCATTTAACTAGACAATACACAATGCGGTCGGTTATGTGCTGACCACATCAGATTTTTTTATTTCACTTAGGTTCTGGGTTTGCATTGTGTTCGAACTTCTTTTATTCATACTATTTTTTAATTTAATCATTCTACTTGTTATTACTGTAAGTAATTTTAATTTCTTATCGTTCTTTCAATAGACAAAATATGTGTGTTTGTTTTGAGTTGTTGGTTAATAGTTGGTTTCCTCTTTGCATACTCTTATCTCTTTCAAGCTTCTGATTTTTTAACGGCCTTTTAACCCGGAAACACAGGTATTGGTAGGAATGGTCCTATTCTTAAAGTCGCCTTGAGTGAGAGTCTTCGCCTTTTGCTTCAAGGTTAGAAGCTTTAGTCGACGGAAATTACATTGGTCAATTTAGTGGTTTCACCACAGTTGTACAGCGATATTTTGTAATTCTGAATTTGGTTAAGAACTAATGTTTTTAATGTTTTTAATACTTATACTAGATTTTCAGCGAATAGGAGAAGATTTGTTACAATTCCTGAAAAAAGGAATCTTCTTCTTTGCGACACGTAGCCAAAATTTTTGAGTTATCTATGTGTGGAATTTCTTAATAGGATCATGGACGGAAATTGTCCTGATTATTTGCTTTGTATATATAATTAGGAGATTTTTGATCTCATAAGTGTATACACCTCTATTTTTAATAAACAAGTAAATATAGGAACTTATCTTGATCAAAAGTGTCACCACATCATCACAACCTGAAAACAGTTTCTTTGTAATGTTGATTTTGTTTTCTTAAACCGAACTTGTCACTTCCATTCAACAGTTTTAATCGCTAACTCACATAAAATTAAAGTGATTTCCCCAAGAATAGCAATACCAAATGTAAAATTGATGCTTCGCCATAAATCTAATCATAAAATAAGGTTCATAAATCTAAAAATTTGATTTTACATAAATTTTGTCAAGATCTGAAAATGTTATTTTACAGCATGAAATCTTCAATATTTTTCTTGGTATACAACAAAAATTTTCCGCAAAATCTAATTGGAAACCCTATCCATTTCGTCAATTGAATGTAAAACTTTATTGTTCAATATTTTTAAATTCTAAGTAGCAGCGCAATTTCCTAAATATAATACAATAATTTTCCTTTCACCATTCCGAAAAAAAATTATTAGAAATAGAAAATAAAAATTCAAATTATATTCGTTTAATTCCGTTGGAGTTGTTATACAAGCTATTGTTGACCGTGATCTTTTAATTCCACTGAAAAAAACTTTTAAGTTAATAATTGAATTAGTAAAGTACTTGCACATACATATACTCATAAATACGAGTTACATGCTTACATAAATGCATGAATATATGTGAGTATGTATGCATTAAATTAGTGCGTATTAAATTTCTAATTCAATTTAAGGAAAATCATGTATGTACATACATATTACGTTTTTAGTAGAAAAGTTGTTCAACCATAAAAAAATGTGACTTTTTTACAAAGCGTGTACCCAATGTTATTTATTTTTTTGATGAAGAGTGTTTACTGTAGGATTGAATTACATGTAATTAGTAGAACTAATTTCTAACTTAATTGTATTAATTGATTTACAGTGAAAAGAACATGATTACATTGATCTACTATTTAATTAGAAACATACATACATACTTATGTATGCATTCGGGGAAGTAATAACACTGAATTTTAACTACAATGTGTATTGTTGTAGTAATTTTTCTAAATATTATTTACACAAAATATATACATATGTATGTATAACTGTGTATATACAATATGTCAAAATGAACAAAATGCCATTCTGAGTTTTTGTCACACACATTCATTGCAATTGTAATGTAAAACATTATTATCATTGGTTTCTTTTCTCTTTCAACGACCGCATTGCACAAAATAAAGGAGTATGTAATAAAACAAATTTCTCATGTCGATTTGTTGACGGATGTGTTTCTTCATGCTAGAGAAGCGTAAGTAAACCATTTTTAAAGAAATGTCCGTGAACGCGCATCCTGTATCTCAAGTACGGCTGAACCAACTTTTAGTAGAATTTATATCTGACTGTAGTTTAAAGATAGGACGCTTTGATCAACATTTTTAAAAAGCAGCGGATTTTCCTGAGCCTACATATTTATATATGTATATATATGACTTTATATGTATATATTTATTTATCAGATATAACAACTTTATGAGGAAACCATCCGTCAACGATGAACTTTTATTACAATCGCAATCAAATATTTGTTCAAATACAGAGAAATAATGAACCATTTCCCAAATCTAGCAAATTAATCAAAGAACCAATAAATATCAGGGCACAGAAATATTTGGAAAATATCAGGATTTCGAAACAGACCTTTTACTGAGGGTCAATATTATATTTTTATCGTATCCAAGCAATTAATCGACGCAATTTCTTAAAATTTATTATTTGAGTTCTGATTTAATATTTGAGTTAACTGGAAAATTTTGAAGGAAAATCGGTTACCGAAAAATTAAACTCTACTTAGTTGATTAAAAGTTATTTAGACTTTTCATAATGTTTTAAATAAATGTTGAAAGGACATTTTCATTATTCTATAATACTTTAACAATGCGGTCAGTTATGTGCTCTTCACATCAGACTATTTTAATTTTTGGCAAAAAATGCTTTCAATTTCAATGGCTTTACTATTTATATTCTATTTGTAATTTAAGCCACGAAAATTAGTAAGAGCAACGTAAATATACATATATACATAATATGTACATACACACATATGCTTATATATAAAAAATTTTCATAATAGCTTTACTAGATCTTGACGAGTACTCCATACTTTGTTAAACGTGAAAGTGCCCTTTTTAAAATTTCGAATACTTTCAATTTACATTTTGGTTAAAGTTTATTTTTGGCATTAAAGGTCACTTTTTGCACTCTTACATAATGTTGTATAAAATATAATATTTACGTTTATACATGCACACATATGATACATATGTTTGTCAACGTTTTTGGAAATAAAATTTAAGGTCGTTGTAATGCG